TGGTCTCGAGACCAAGACCGATCTCGAGCACTACAACACTGGTCTTAGGATCAGGGCTATTTCAGACGATTTATCCATTCAAAAACCCTTATGGATGCATGTTCTGCATCTTTCATACAAGCAGGCAAAATAGAATTAAGTGAAATGAGCAGTAAGACTCCATATCCCATGAAAGAAGTCAGGACGTTCCTAGAACATTAGTGTCCCAGTCCATAGGGAGGCATTTGGACCTTAACCTTGAAAGAAGGGGGTGGTGAAAAAGAAAGACGTTCCCACTAAAACGTGTTCAAATGTAATACCTGCCATAGGAAAAAACAAATGTCCGCATAAAGAAGAATTCTGAGCCAACATAAAAAAATATATATCAACTGAAATTCAACTCTACAGGTAAACGGTGAAGACTTGGAGATGATGGGAAGTTCCAATAAAATTATGAACCCAAATTCACATTGAACTGCTTTAGATATTTCTCTATCTAGCATCCTGAATAATTTTTTCTTCTTTAATGGTAGATTTATTTATTTTTTTAAATAAAGACCCCAAAAAAAATGTAAATATACTTCCTTTGACTAATACGTCTTGTCTTTCTGTCTAAACCAAGTGTTATATCTAATTATTATTTTAGTAACAGATTATTCACAATTATTCTGACTAATAGTTTTATCTCACTGAGTCATAAAGCCACCAAAGCCAACTGCTGCTCAAAAATACAGGAGGAATTTGTTTTTAAATCAGTGTTGGTTGCTCACCTTATCGCTGATGGTGGGATTTAGCTGTATGAGAAGGAAGCGATAAGCCACCGTAGGCAAGATGGAGAGAAGACAAGTCAGGAAAATGGTCAGCCACACGTTGGACTGCTGTAGGCAGTTCCTCGCTGCACCTGAAATCCCACAAAGAACACACAAAAATCATGCTTTCGCAGGACACATTACCGGTTAATAAGTTAAATCAAAAATACATTTTTATAATAAAACAAAAAAGTTTATGCTGCTGTTTTTGTTGCTGCATGGTATCAGAGCAAAGGAACCTAAGATAATTCAAGCTGGTGGTTAAAACAGTTTGTATTGAGACGCTTTTTGGTTTAATTAAACAATGGGGTTCCACAGGGTATGATCTTAGGTACCACATTTTTTGATCAGGGTATATTTTTACAGGGGGATTCCCATACATTTGTAGCCTGTTTCTTGCAGATAAAAAGATTTGGGAGCAGTTCTACAATGCCGTAGACTAATTAAATGGGTTCATAACTTTATTTCAGATTGATGTTTTTCTTTTTTCCTGAGAGCGAAATATTTCCTAAAAATGGAATCCTTAAAGAAAATTAAACCTGACTTAATAAAATTTTGCTACTTCTGTTTAATTACAAATTAAGAACGAAGCTTTAGGGTTTATTGCCCTAAATGTATTGACAGGGCAAGAAATGGGACATTTTTATTATGTTTTAATCTCCAGGATCAAGGTCCTTCATGTGGGGAAAAGATGCCTAAAAAGGCTTTAAATGAATCCAGGTTTTATTTCTGTAGCATTCATTCAAAATGTATAATTGATTATAAACTCCAACCCCTGATTTAAATGGATTTATTGAGGAAATTATGTTTAGACAAAAGAAAAAACATAATTAAGTTCATCTCAGTTTCTGAATTACTTTAATTTCTAACATCTGACTTTCTGTTGATCAAATCCAGATTTTATTTCTGTAGCGTTCATTCAAAATTCAACTATAACCTTATTTTATAGTATCAATCAATCTGTCTCGGTTTGTAAAAAGCGATATCTACTCACCAATGAAAGGGAAACTGGAGGTGAACATGAAAAACAATCCGTTGCTTAGGAAAGTAAAGGTGACGGAAATGTAGACAGCCAAGCTTCCCCACAGGAAGAACTGATTGATTGCTGTCCAGTAATTGGTGTCGAGAAACATCTAAAAAAAAAATAAATAAAAATAATTTATATAATTTTACTGAAAGACACAATTAATATTTTAGCTATTATTTATACCAACACCCATAATTGAAAATATTCAATATAATATATTTCCTTCTGGTTGTGGATCTGGACACACCTTGACATTCGTATTTAAGCAGGACTATCAACCACATATAAAGAATCATTATTATCACTCAAGAACAGTCTTTCTGCTTTTCTGTCGGTGACTGGGGGGGATTTACCATTAGGCAATACTAGACAGTTGCCTGGGGCCCCAAGTTCCTGGGGGCCCCATAAAACATGTATATTTAATACAACTATTCCTCATTTGTGCGGATTAATTATGTTTTTAATTATGTGCTTGTGGAGACAGTGAAAAGAAGGACTGGGTTATTTACTTTTGCCTTTTTGGAAACACCGGAAGGAGCAATCAGCTAAGTGAGCTTAGTGCTTGGAAAAAAAATGTCAATCCTTTTGAGACTGTTAGGAATCCAGTCTGTGTGGGTTGTGTTTTTGTGTTTTTCCCCCTGCACCACCAGGTGGCGCCCTGTTCTCGTTGGTCCTCCCACACACCTGCGGCTGGTTGGCTCATTATTGAGGACTTTTTAAGCGTCACTACCTCGATGCCAGAGTGTTTGCCAGTTTTGGGTACTCTAGCCAAGCTGAGTTTAGCTTAGTCTAACTGAGTTTTTGCTTCTCTGAATTCTGGATGTTTGGCCTTCTCCCCCTGGAAGAATCGTTTGTGCTTCACACTGAGCAGGGGATTCATCACCACACGATCCGTTCAAATTCTCCAGGAAATCTAAGTGGCAGTCTGCCCCATTGCTCCTCAGGAACCAACCAAACCAAAGACCTGTCCACCCTCCAACGAGCCCCTCAATCTCTGGAAAAACCCACATCGACTGAATTCTGGGAAGAAACCTTTCTCCGCAATCGTGAGTCCCTTTTATCTCTGTGTTTGCAAGATGTCTTTCAAAGTTCCCACGGACCCTGAACTAACCTCTGTATACTTCCCTTCTCACTTCCAGTTCCGGTTCACCAGCTCCCTGAGTTTCCCCGAATCCCACCCCTTAAACTCCTCAATAAACCTTTTAAACTTTTCTCTGGTTTCTCTGAGTGGTTTTCTGTATGTGGGTCAGATCTCTTAATTACATCATGACAGAGACAGCATGAAAAGTCAGCTGAGAACACAACATAGAGAGGAAAACAACAAGAAAAGAGACAGGAAGATAGGGACAAAACGTAGAACAAATAATGTATGTCTATTCTATTAACATATCTGTATAATGGGTCTGTTTTATGTGGTGTCTTCTCAATTCAGGGGCCCCCTAGCTGTCTTTGCCTAGGGCCTCACATTTCCTAACTCCGCCCCTGGTCAGTAATGATTAGAGCTTCTTACCCAACTATCAGTAAGCAGAGAAGTTGCTTATGGGCCCCGGATCTTTTAGGGGCCCCATCATTGACACCTGGTAGGCCCCTTATGCAATTGTAGACTAGGACGTCTCATTGAAGATTTAATGGTGCGAAAAATTCCTATTTCCGTTTAAACGCGACACCAATAGCAAAGCAGACAGTGGTACTTTTAATTACTATGTTAATAACTGTGTATAGTTCATTAGACGGTTGGTAAAAAATATGCTCATATAATATGTTTCAAACCTCAATAAAGATCTTAAAAGAACAATGTATTTGACTGTTTTATTTTTTTACGCTACGACTTGGAATTATGGGTAATCCAGAGCTTAGATATGGGCCCCCCCCTCTAGATAATGTTGCTTATGGGCCTATTGTTGTGTCGGTACGCCATTGTTCTTACCTGAGCGCTCACCACAATCAGCAGGCTGGTTTGCGTCAACAAAGCAAAGGACTGATAATCCGCTACGTCTTTGCCATCGCTCCGGACGGCGTCGTGCATGGCTGCCCAGGGGATGAAGAAGATGACCAGGGAGGTGTAGCAGCTGATCATCACAATGTGCACAAAGGCTTTTTTACTAAAGAACTTGCTGAGCTGGCCCGGAGAGTAGAGCTGAGGATAGTGAAAACTCCAGCGGTCGTTAACATCCTGCAAGATGAAGCAAAGAGCAAAATTCACACAGAGGCCTCGGTGTAAATAAAGAGAACACCCACTTTTCAGTAAGTCTTACCTGCTCAAAGAGGCCCAAAGCAAGAACTGGAGTAGCAGTGTAGACCATATTATACATGGTGATGAACCAGTCATCGTATACAGCCTAACAAAAGAAGTCAACATCTGCACAAAATATCCATCTTTTCAGGCATTTGCAAAGCAAACCCAGGATTTATTACTTACCTGTGCAGAGAAGCCGCAGAAGAAAGCGTACCACAAGTGAACCAGGGTGTAGCTGAAGTTCTTGTAGAAGAAATATCGCAGGAATTTGCACATGCGAATATAAGACCAGCGCCCATGCACCAGCAGGAGGCGCTGGAGGTATCGAAACTGCGCAAAGGAGAAGTCGCTTGAGAGAACGGCTTGCATCCCTTCCAGCCCGCTGATGCCGACACCGATATGAGCAGCTAAACGATAAAAAGAATGAGATCCTTTATTCATCAGTCAGGTCTGCAAGATTCTCTGCAGGCTCGTTTAGACCGGAGCTCCGGATCTCACCCTTGATCATGCTGACATCATTGGCTCCATCTCCAATGGCCAGAGTTATAGCCTGCTTGTATTTCTTGACCAGTTGGACCACCTGTGCCTTCTGCAGAGGAGTGACCCTGCAGCAAATCACCGTCTTGCACATGCATGCAGTCCTCAGCAGCTCCAACTCCAAATCCTTTTCCAGTGCAAATTCCTAAAGATGAGAAGTTCAGATGTACGGGCAGTTTGATCTCTAATGCACAGGATAGCATTTTCTAAAACATTGTCGTACCAAACTGTGTCCATTAATGATCAGGCCGTACTCTCCTTCTACTGTCTCATCCTGCATGGTCTGGGTCTGCTGGCGCCAGAGCAGGCCAGCTCGAGCTTTGATCACTTTGGGCTCCTCTGCTGCGCCGGGACACATTTTCCTCCTGGCATTCCTAAAAAAAGGGGGATCGATAACAGACAAGTCACAACCGGAACAAAGATTTTACAGTCATTCTCTCTGTTTCCCAAATTTATACAAGTGACAACAGATAAAAAATGTTTAATGAAAGGATTTCTTACAATTTAAGGACAGAAACTTATGACATATAACTTTGTTGTTTTTTTTTTTGCTGTATCAGAAACAGCAATCTTATGTTTACCTTTACTAAATATCCAACTTTAATTTACTTAGAATGCATTGTTCTTCATATTTACATCAGAAATTACATTATTACTTCTTTATTACACTGTTGAATGAAATACAAATAAACTATTCCCTATACTCAGAGGCTATCAAACAGAACCAGATACGGCATTTAATGGGGGTTTGGACCTAGAGGAGAGTTAAAACCAACTTATTGTCTCATACTTATTGTCAGGATTTCTGTCTGTGTGTTTGTGTTTCTGTGTTTGTCTCCCTTCCACCACCAGGAGGCGCCTGGTTCTGGTCCGCCTCCTCACACACCTGCTGATGGTTTCCTCGTTAACAGAGCGCTCTTAAGCTGCTGACTGCCACTACCTCGACGCCAGAGTGTTTGCCAGTTTGGGGTACTTTAGCCAAGCTGAGTTTTGCTGAGTCAAACTGTGTTCTTAATCTTGTTTTTTGTCTTTGCCTCTCGGCAGGAAGTCATCCTGCAAACTGGGTGTTTTGGACCTTCTCTCCCTGGAAGGATCATCTGAGCTTCAAACTGAGCTAAGGATTTAAACTGAAGGTTTGAATCTACTTTTCCCCAAGAGATCGTTTGAGCTTCACACTGAGCAAGGGATTCATCTCCACTACGACCCGTTCAAGTACCGCAGGAAATCTGAGTGGCTGTCAGCTTCTCCGTTCACCTACAAACAACTGCATTCTGGGTAAACCCTGTTCCGCCCTCCACCGAATCAGACAAACACTGGAACAACAGCACACAGACTGGAGTCAAAGAGTCAACAACTTCTCTGGAAACGTGAGTCAGCAACCAAATCCTCCTCTTCAAGTTCATGAATCAAATTTCCCACTGAGCCTGAACTAACCGCTGTGTCTTCCCCTCACTTTTCAGTTCCGGTTGAGCAGTGTTCAGAGCAACACTTCATTCTGCCTTATATCTTCAATAAACCTGTTAAACCTTTTCCCCCGAGCTCTTGATAAAATCATGACACTTATAGAGACCCTAAATTAAATGCACCTGTGTCTTAGACTGAATCCTAAACCAGTAACCCTTAACTATCAAGTTTCATTCGCAATAAATTCACACTCACAGCTGTGGAGGGGGCCTGGTGTACGTGGAGGGCATAGGCCCAGACCCAAACCGGCTGCTAAACGCTAACCCTGGGTGCTAACCCTCCACTTTATGTGTTCCCGCAGAGGGTTTGCCACATTAAGTCCTGTCCCAAACCCCGTAGTGGGTAGAGTGAGTGGACCATTCAGCCCTTAAAGAGCGAGTGCATGGCTGAATCCCAAACCAACCCTTAACTATCAAGTGTCACTACTAAAGAAGTCTCACTCGCAGCTGTGAAAGGTGCCTTGGTTGAAGGTGTGTGTGTGTGGGGTTGGGTGGTTGGTATAAATGACAACCATGTGTGTGGCCTTAGCTCTGTGGCGCAGGTTAACATAATGTTGTGAAACATTACTAAAAAGAAGAAAGCAGTTGCTGAGACGTGTCCCTTTCCAGAAAATTACCAGACCAACTCCCCACCCACTGTTGTAGCTGAGACAAACTTCCTTTATTTTCCCATATGTGAAAGAATTTCTTTATGGGGAGCAGCATTAATTATGGAAACATCTTTATCAGTGAAAGGCTTTATTTACAGCTGGGTTTGTAGGAAACATGATCTAAACCGAACCATAAATAGTTACTGGTTGACTTACTGTAGCTCCTTCTTGACCCCGTCGGCTGTATTTGAAGCCACAATAAAAATGTCTGTCATCTCTTCCCTCAGCATGTTGCAAGAATAGCCGATGTTTTCTGCAGTTTCTTTTTCAGACCAAGAAGAATCAGAAGAACAATGGTGTTAATCATAGATGATGAGAGGAAAACTGACACATTGATAAGGGTAGTTAAAGATTAAAATTGCACATAATGTATTACTTCTTCCTTAACACCAACCTTGTTTATCGCCAGTCAGCACCCAGATTTTAATGTCAGCTTTTGCCAGCTGCTCTATTGTCTGAGGCACACCGTCCTGCAGCTTGTCCTCCACAGCGGTGGCACCTAAAAGCTGGAAACCAAAGGGAGAAGATCGAGTTAGAGACCCAATGCTCTCAGCCATCCTCTTCTTTAACCAGATGATACACAAAGAAGTTAAAGCCAAACTGAACTGACCATCAGATCTTTTTCAATCTCTTCATAAAGTTCATCGAGTTTCTCCTCTCGTCCCTCCATGGCCGTGCTGTACTTGTGGTGGCGGTCCATCCAACGCTGCATGTAGTGCTCATCCAAGTCCTTGTAGGCCAGGACCAGAGTACGAAGGCCATCTCCTGCATATTCCTAGTTGAAAAAATCATAGAGCTGTTAAAAACACATACTTTAAACTTAGACGGGTCGATAAAATGTCAGATCAGAGTCTACGAACATCTCAGATTAGGGAATGTATTGCTCACATTAAGATGTCTGGTGGTAACTTCCCTCAGTTCATCACAGGAGGGGTGTAATCTCTCATAGATGATGGTGTCTGCACCTTTGCAGTACAGGGTCAACTTACCCTCGGGGTTGCGAACTGGAAGAGAGTTAGAGAGACAATGGGTGATCAACCTGACATGAGGAATCCATCCGTCTGTCCATCTGTCCGTCCATCTCCTACCTATTACTGACATCCTCTTCCTCACGTTACTGAAGTCCAGTACAGCCAGAAGTTCGTATATAACTTTCTTCCCCATCTCCATGACTGTGATGGTCTCTGGCGTACGCGAGCGGAAAACAAACCCAAAGTTCCTCGCGGCGGTCACCAAAGCACCCTCATCAGGGGACTGAGCCTGGTAGTTGAGCTCTCCTGGCAGACAACAAAGAGAACAAGACATGGTGTTCATGGATGGTTCCTAAAAGTCTAAACATCAAACACCGTCAAGTCCTGTCCAAATCAGATCCAAGATTCGCCTCCAGTTTACACCTTGTCCTGCTCAACTCCGCTCCACTGCAGGACGAAGCCCAGAGGTGCTCAAAGGAGCATGCACCGGATAGACCCAGTGATGAAGGTTAAAGTCAAAGCTATTATATGCCTGATGGACATAAACAACAGTTTAAACTGAGTTGCTCTGTAGCTTTGTTGAATAAAGAGTTTTCTTCTGCAGTTGGTAAATTAACATATAGTAGCAGCCATTCAAAATGGCCCTTCCCAGTCAAGTGGCAGTAGAATGACAGCCCACTTCCCTGCAACTCCCAGCGAAATCCCTCCAACTTCCATCTACTTGAATATTTTTTTATCCTGACTCCACCCTTTCAATGAATTACAGGGTCTGACCAAGAGATCATACTTCTTTATAAAATCTTAATGTCCACAAATCATAACAGAGAGAATATTTTAGTACAAATATTGATGTTTAGATTAGATTAGATGAGCTTTATTGATCTCACAGCGGAGAAATTAACTGGTCACATGTTGGCATAGTACTTAAAGAAGGTGCAAACAAGGAGAAAAAGGTGCATTAGGAATAAAAATAAGAAATAAAAAGATAAAAAATACAAGGGAGTAACAGAGAGATTTGAGGTGACAAATGTACAATCAGGATGGCTTATATACAGGCGGACTGATTTTTACATTTAAGTTTAGTAGGTGAGGAACAACGGTGAGGTAGTGGTATGACTATTATATTCACATATATTGCACAGTCAGCATATTGCACAGAATATTGCACAGGAATTGTAGGAAAAGGAATTGTAGCGGACCAGCCAAAGGCCCATCAAGGAAAGTGGGGAAATTTGGAAAGGCTACTACTATAATGCGAAGAGATGTTGTTTTGCTTATTTTTGGTATCTGAAAAAATCGAGTTCATGAATAATTAAATAAATTCTGGATTCTTGGATAATTTCTTTTCCTGTTAGAGCGAAAATATCTAAATATTTAATGCTATCCTGCTGCAGCAAATGGGAAAATCTCGTCGATTATAAATGTTGCATATTTACTGACCTGTTTGCAGCTAAATGGAGCTGATGATATGACAAAACGGGGTCAGTAAGATAATAATACGTTTCTTTAGGACACCAGCGGACATATCTAAAATGGGGTCCATACACTCAGATAAATGCTGGAGAAATTGTGAGTCACACATCGGCAACCATACTCATATATTTTGGACATGACCTAAATTGAGAAAACTGGGGGACGAGATATTCGAGGCCCTTAGAAAAGTATTTCAGAAAACCTTTAACAAAGACCCTGAGATGGTACTTTTTGGATTATTACCAAAACACGTTACTAGAAGAGGAAAAAAATACCTTCTATAAATATTACTGATTGCAGCTCTTAAATGCATCACAGTTAAATGTTTGAAGCCCGAACCGCCAACATACAAAATGTGGATTGAAAAGGTCTGGGAAATCTATTATATGGAACAAATAACTTATTGCCTGAGGCTTCAAAAAGACAGATTTGTTAAGAGGTGGAAAGCTGCCATGACCATATTAATGCAGTAAAACTTTATATTTTCTTTTTTATTTATATTTTTCTATTTATTTATTTATTTATTTATTTATTTTCTTTCTTTCATTGTACTCTACATTGCAAAAAAGATCTTGAAATAAGTAAAACATTTCTTAAATGAAGTGTATTTACCCTTACTTTGAGTAGGTAAATACGATGATTTGCCAATGAAATTAGTATCTTTACTCTTAAAATAAGATAATTAGATAATATGAACTTAAAATAAGATAATGCAATTGTTTTTTCTTATTTTAAATGTAAATTGTTTCGTTCCATTGGCAAAGTCTCTCACTTTCGACCTCAATCAGAGAAAAAATGCACTTACTTTAAGAAAAAATTACTTACTTAGATTTCCATTTTTTGCAGTGTATTTTATTTCTATTGTACTTTTTATATTTACTTATTATTTTCTATCAAATTTTTATTTCCATTGGTGCTGCTTATGTAATTACTAACTACATTTATGTTTGTAAGTTACTTATGTTTAACCATGTGACCTACTTTACTTGTAAGCCTAACTTGTATATACTTTCAAAGTTTTGTTCTTTTTTTAAGTATACCACATAGAGCAGCAGCCGGAATGTGGGATTGTATATATGTCTGTGTAAGTTGCAAAAATTTAAATAAAAATTAAGTGAAAAAAATGGGGTCAGTGTCGTGTGCAAACCCCAAACACTGCAAAAAATGGAAATCTAAGTAAGTAATTTTTTCTTAAAGTAAGTGCATTTTTTCTCCAATTGAGGACGAAAGTGAGAGACTTTGCCAATGGAACAAGACAATTTACATTTAAATAAGAAAAAACAATTGCATTATCTTATTTCAAGTTCATATTATCTAGTTATCTTATTTTAAGAGTAAAGATACTAATGTCATTGGCAAATCCTCATATTTACCTACTGAAAGTAAGGGTAAATACACTTAATTTAATAAATTTTTACTTATTTCTAGATCGTTTTTGCAGTGAAGGAATGCTCATTTCTACCTTGACTTAAAGGCACCAGAGAATCCCTTTAGAAAATCTGTTATAATCATCAATTGGATCATTTTAAGATTTCAGTCAAATGTTCTTTAGATTCTCTCTCATCCGGGAGCTTCCTGGATGGGAAGCGAAACGTCTTCAAACTTGGAAACAAAGTCCAGTGGATTGTTTTTTAAAACTTTTTTTGGAATAGATATGACCTGGATGATGGAGAAGTTTCACCAGCATGTCTTTTAGATGTTTTATATTAAAATGTGTGGCTCCCTCCTAACGCCACGTCTCCCTGGTCAGCAGCCATATTGCCCAGCAACATGTGCAGAATCATAAGTACTTTTACTAAATTTTTAATTCAAATGTGTTCTTTCTGCAACCAGCTTAGGTGTCTTCAAAGTATTTAATTAAAGTTTAATCACGTTTATATAATACAGTTTTTAAAATATTTCCTTTAATTATGTCATTGCTTATAATAGAAAAAATAAATCATCGTAGGCTCTGACCCTCCCTCTTTTCCTCAGGCATGACGGTGTGGCACAGAGCCAGCAGGCGGAAGAAGGCCTGGGCCTCTAGGTTTCCTTCCTTTACTGTTTCCAACAGGTTGCAATCATGGAAGACAAACTTTGGATCCGCCAGCTGGTTCCAGGAGAAGTCCACTCGCTGCGCTTTCTGTAAAGAAATATGGATGAATAGACAATGCACATCGATAAAGCCTGGTAAATATGGTCTGGTGTCGATTAGGTTACTTTACCTCTGTTATTTCCATTCTATTTCCATAAAAGTCGTACAGCTCCCCTGGATTAAACAGACATATTTGTCAGAATCATTAAATTAGCATTAAACCCTAATTTTAGGGTTAATTCTATGGAAGCAAATTGTTACCATATTTCAAATGAAAAAGCATTTTCAGAAATGCTTTTTCATTTTAAGAATGTGGCTGCATTACTTGACCCATAAATAAAATTAGTAATCAATCATCCTATTTGCATTTTAATTTTCTTCTTCAAGACTGCTCATTCTTTTACTTAATTAAAATGAAAAAGAAAAAAAAAAATGAGATTTATTTTTCAAAATGTAACCCAGCAAATTCATACCACCTTTCTTTAACTTTCTTCATGCTGCATACATAATAAAGAACTGCTACTAACAGCCAAAGTAAGAAAGTTTAACTACTGTTGATGTGACCAGCAGCCATCTTGAAAGTGGAAATCAGGTGTTGTCCTTTTTTTCCAACGCTTTACCGCTCATACTCTGATTTTTATGGGCATTATAGTTAAAATGTCGTAGTCGCAAGTTGTAAAGAAGCTTAAAATGTCTTTTTATATTGTTTTACTGCAGGCACAAAACAAAAATACATGTCTCCCTTTGAGTGCCTTCACACAAGTTTCTACACTCACCGGCCACTTTATTAGGTACACCTGTCCAACTGCTCGTTAACACTTAATTTCTAAGCAGCCAATCACATGGCGGCAACTCAGTGCATTTAGGCATGTAGACATGGTCAAGACAATCTCCTGCAGTTCAAACCGAGCATCAGTATGGGGAAGAAAGGTGATTTGAGTGACTTTGAACGTGGCATGATTGTTGGTGCCAGAAGGGCTGGTCTGAGTATTTCAGAAACTGCTGATCTACTGGGATTTTCACGCACAACCATCTCTAGGGTTTACAGAGAATGGTCCAAAAAAGAAAAAACATCCAGTGAGCGGCAGTTCTGTGGGCGGAAATGCCTTGTTGATGCCAGAGGTCAGAGGAGAATGGCCAGACTGGTTGGAGCTGATAGAAGGGCAACAGTGACTCAAATAACCACCCGTTACAACCAAGGTGGGCAGAAGAGCATCTCTGAACGCACAGTACGTGGAACTTTGAGGCAGATGGGCTACAGCAGCAGAAGACCACACCGGGTGCCACTCCTTTCAGCTAAGAACAGGAAACTGAGGCTACAATTTGCACAAGCTCATGGAAATTGGACAATAGAAGATTGGAAAAACGTTGCCTGGTCTGATGAGTCTCGATTTCTGCTGCGACATTCGGATGGTAGGGTCAGAATTTGGCGTCTACAACATGAAAGCGTGGATCCATCCTGCCTTGTATCAACGGTTCAGGCTGGTGGTGGTGGTGTCATGGTGTGGGGAATATTTTCTTGGCACTCTTTGGGCCCCTTGGTACCAATTGAGCATCGTTGCAACGCCACAGCCTACTTGAGTATTGTTGCTGACCATGTCCATCCCTTTATGACCACAATGTACCCAACTTCTGATGGCTACTTTCAGCAGGATAATGCGCCATGTCATAAAGCTGGAATCATCTCAGACTGGTTTCTTGAACATGACAATGAGTTCACTGTACTCAAATGGCCTCCACAGTCACCAGATCTCAATCCAATAGAGCATCTTTGGGATGTGGTGGAACGGGAGATTCGCATCATGGATGTGCAGCCGACAAATCTGCGGCAACTGTGTGATGCCATCATGTCAATATGACTCCCTGAGGAATGCTTCCAGCACCTTGTTGAATCTATGCCATGAAGAATTGAGGCAGTTCTGAAGGCAAAAGGGGGTCCAACCCGTTACTAGCATGGGGTACCTAATAAAGTGGCCGGTGAGTGTATATCGCTCCATATTTTGTGGAATTTCTATCATTTTATCAATGCCATAAAATTGATAGAAGTGCAGTCCCTGCAAACCAAAACAGATCTACAACACAAGTTACATATTTCTAGTTTCTATGGAAGATAATCAAATCAGCAGAAAATACTTGTTTTGGGAGTATTGTGAATTGAAATTGTTTTCCTAATAAGGATATGCCTTTGCAACAACGGGGGCCAATGGGTTATGTACATAAAATCTCAGCAGAGAAGATGAGTCTGAAACTGCTTCCTCTAAAAATGTTTTTTTTAGCAAATTTTAAGCTGTTTCCTTGAGAGAAAAAAATATTTCTTAAATATTTCCAAAAAACAAAGCAACAATCAGAACATGCCCATTTTATAAGAAACACAAACAAAGAAACTCAACAGGGGTGAAAATATTTGCCTCCTTTCTAAATGTTGATTCCTACCGTAGTTTTTCCCGTTGATGGAGCACCTGTTGAACGTCATGATGTTCTGAGTCAGAGTACCGGTCTTGTCACTGAAGATGTATTTAATCTGACCCAGCTCCTCGTTGAGGGAGGTGGTCCTCGCCTGAGCGGGAGTGTCTTTGTTAGGATAGTACATCTTCCTGTCCCAGTCTATGAAGAAGCTGTTTCCGAGACGGATCATCTCCACACTGACAGAAGAAACCAGAGAAGGTAATGAGTCCTCCATGTAGTACCGTAACTGTACCTAATCTATGGTCATCATGTTCATAGGTGGAGGCTGCATACCTGACGTAGAGAGAAATGGGGACCATCGTGTTGAGGACGATGATATAAGACCAGAAGGAGTAGAAAGACGACAGAGGAATGCCAACGCCTGGTTTACGGGGAAGAAACGCGGTGAAGGTTGAGCCCTGGTTCCCTTCCCAGATGGAGTGGCCAACAGTCAAACCGGCACAGATAACTGCTAGTAAACCGAAGATCTAACAAAAGAGGAGAGGCGTTAATCTAAGAGGAACAATCAAGACATCATAATCGAAATTAACAGCTAAATCACAAATCTTTTTTCTTCTGCTTTTGTTTCATCGATTGCGTGCATAAACTCACACATAGCACCAGGATGTTCATCAGCTGATCAATGTTGGTCCGTTTAAACGTGGTTTTCCCACTGTTCTTCATGAGTTTGGTCTCAGGACCTAAAAACGTTGTTTCAAACACAAGGGCGTTTTTTTCCAAATACTAAAGATGAATAAAAACGTCACATAGTCCCAGATTAAACGTGTACCAACTGCATTACCAACTGCAAACTAATATTTAGTTTAGATTTTAGTACTTTGAAACATCAAAACACCTTGTTTTAAGGTATAATAAGCAAAGTAATGTGAACTTTAAAAAACCCACAAGGGCTAGCATGTCTGAGAGTACAGTAAAGTACGGGGGTGGTAACATTATGATGTGGGGCTGTTTTTTTTTTACACAAAAGCACAAAAGAATGAAGATAAAAAGCAACATTTCTAAATGACTGTGAGGACATTTACATAAATTGAGCAGAATTTGAAGAATGTAACGTTTACCTGATCCACTGATCATTTAAACTACTGGGGAAAAACTCTATATTATTCTTATATAACGCTCTTGGTGCTTCATTTTGATTGGCTGCAGGGAGCCTGAAACCTATGAAAATCTTCCAATCAAACAGCCTGATCGTTCTAAATGATCATGATCGCTACCTTTGCAGGTTTTATTGCCAGAGCCGGTTACCTTGGTTACGCATCACAGCGAGAGATATTGAACCATCAACTCAGCTTTTTCTTTACATTTCTCTTTTGTAAGAGATCATGGTAAAAGTGGGATAATGCCCTTCGAGCTATCCATTTTTAATAAACAATCGGACTTTGCGATGGACGGTTCACACATCTGTTATGTTTTTCTTTTGAGAATTCAGTCTTACTTTAATCCTTGTTTTCTAGTGTTTAGTTTTCTTTTCTCCATGTATTATAGTCCTAGTTATTTGATTATCATTTTGCTGTTATTTCCAGTCTTCCAGGTTTCTATTTGTTGCTCTCTGCTGCCCTCTTATGTTCTCCTTCTTCCCTAGCTCTTTCCCTCTCTTGTTCTGTGCACACCTGCTCCCAGTTTCCTCATTAGCCCCCTCTTTGTCTCAGTCTCCTTTAAAAGCCCTCTCTCTTCAGTTTTCCTTTGCTGGGTCCTCGTCAAACACCGTCTAACATGCTCCAACCCCTTCTCTCTGTGCCTTCCTCCTTATGATTGTGATTCCCCTGATGTCGCCATGGTTTCTGGTACGTTTAGACTAGTTTTAAATTTTTTTGATTTTTGGACTCCTGGTTTCATGTTTATTTGGACTTTGTTTTCCTTTTGGATTTTTGGATAACCTGCCTCTGTTTTCTGTTAAGTCATTATTAAATCCACAAGAGATTCACCTCTGCCTCCCTGCCTCTGCTTTTGGGTCAACTAACCATAACCAAATCGTGACTCAACATCATCGATTCAGTTTAATTAAATGCATATCTCATCACACGTTATTCTCTAGATAAATTTGTATCCAGGCTAAAATATTCTGTTTGGGAATCTCCTCTCATAAATGAAGGCCTCAAAAATAGACATAACATATATTACTGGTAAAATCCCACTTTTCCCCAAAAAACTGTTCAACTTTTAGGTAGAAGTCTTATTGAAAAATGTTTCTTATCTTTATGTTTATCTGAATAATTTTTCTAGAATGTCTATATCAACCCTAACTCATTGAGATAAAGTTGGCTGTTATATGCTTGATGTCGGGATTTCCTGTGAATATTGGTGGTTTGTCGACATACCCTCCAGTCTGAGTCTATTTGTTTTTAAGGAATCTGATGGAAATATGTAGATGGAATTGGTTGTAAGAAGTGCATTTCATGGTTGCCTCTCAGGTCAGATCCCTACTGTACCTGCGAAGATGACCAAACCGAAGCACCAGTCTGTATTCCTCACAGTACATCCTCTGAGCAGAATCTTATCATTGTCCAGTCCATATTGTTGTCCATCAATAGTCAAGGTCCCCATAAACTTGTCTAAACGGTTGTTTGGAGGCTCACATCGAACTTCCCCTGAAACACACAGATATGAGCTACTATAAGACACCGAGAAACCAGATATTTACATATTTACAAACATATATTTACCTACACTGACAAAAAGAAGACAAAGGTTTTGTTTCTAACTGTCTGACATTAACCCTTTCACTCTAACGGTTTTGTAGTTTGTGCACAAACAAATTGCATATGAAAGCGCCACTGGCCAGTAAAATAATATTATAATGCAGTGCTCCTCTGCGATGTATTTTATTTGAAAGCTTAGATCTTCTAAGTTCTGGAGATGTCTCAATAAGTTTCAAAGTTATATATAGTTATATAGACTAGCATCCTTTGATGCAAGAAATAAG